TCTACAAAAATTGATGAACAAAGCAATGTTTACCCTTTCCAAAGTTCAAGAAAATTTCTAAGTTCTGAGTTGAACTCTATTTCAAATTGCATTTCTAAGCTATGGGAAATCTTAGCTAGTAATATCATTTTTTGACCACATGTATTTCATTGTCATGTACAAAGTTTGTACTTCAAACTTTATTCAAGTATCACATACATGTTCTATAGCATTTTTGCTTAATAAAAATTGGTTTTAAACCCTAAGTGATATAACATGACTATGGAATTAACTTTCATTTCGCATTTCCGTTGATCGTTTTGAGTTACGGAAATTGATCTACACTCTTTATTATATGCATTAACACATAAACATGATGCTCATGACATGTTTTAGTAAATGATTTACAGTGTAACACCGAGGGTGTTACAGTACCACCCGTTGATCTTATCGCCACCGGACCCGTTGCCGAGGAAGACATGAGCCTGTGGCTTGTCAAGGTGGAGCGCGGCAGTGGCTGGCATGGGAGAGGAGTGTGGCTCGATGCTCCTGTGTACAAAAAACAGAGCCAGCTCATCACCTTCTTGCGCTTTGCGCGAAGTGTGCCTGACCGCCGCGCTTCGCCTACCGATAGTCCTTGGCCTAGTGGCCGGTCCTCCCGTAGTTCTTGCAGGTGGTGTCATTTGTAGCCTTGTGCTCACCGTCAGCGTTGTCAAGAGCGCCACCACGTGCCTAGAGAGCCTTGTCCCGCTAGCGTGACCAGTGCTTGCGGTTGCTCATCGAACCCGAAGCCCCCCTTCTTTCGCTCCTGCTAGCGGGTGAGCCACTGCTCCTCGGTGAATAGAAGCTTGCCATCGATGTTGACCGGATCTGAGGGAGGTAACTGCTCATGGTTGTCGATGGCCTTGAGGCGACCCGCCACCTTCTCGATCGAAAGCTCGGAGAAGTCCAGCAACATCTTGATTGCGATGGCAATCTGCGAGTACTTCTTGTGGACGATGCGGAGGAACTTCTCGATAACTCTCTCCATGTCGATGTCGTTGTCGCCATACCACGCCAACTGCTGCATTAGGGTGTTGAGGCAGAGAGCGAAGTCATCGACGTCCTCTCCCGGCTTGAAAGTCAGGTTCTCCCACTCCTGACGCAGCTTCTGAAGCGTGGACCAACAGGCACGGTCGCTGCTGATACGTGCTGCGGCAATGGCATCCCAGACATCTTTGGCGGTCTCCTTGTTCGTGAGGGAGGAGTGCATCTCCGGTGGAATAGAAGCAAGAAGCGCCTGCAGCGCCGACCGATCCTCGTCAAAGTCGACGTCGCCGTACCGCACCGCGTCCCACATGTGCCACGCCTGCATCTTCACTTCATCACCATGGACAGCTTGGCATAGTTGGTCTTTGTGAGCATGGGCCATCCGCTGCTGTAGCCGACGTCCTTGACGACGGTCTGCATGATGGGTGGCGAACCGGGCCAACCACGACAACCTCAATGCTAGTCCGAGGAAGGGGAGGCGTGCCGCCTGTGACGTTAGCTTGCACGCACCAGGGTCCTGTTCGCCCTGCTCGCTGTCGTCCAGGTCACATCGGCCGTGGCCATGTGCATTGAAGCCGCGTCCGCCCTGGTCTCGCTCAAAGTCACGCAAGGCCTACTCATGGACCATGCGCTCCTAGTCCCGCTGGGCCTCCAGTGCACGGTCAACTCACAGATCCCGCTAGTGGTCGTGTCTGCGGAGCCCGTCTGCTAGCTCCCTTGCATCCCATGGCCACACAGTCCACCTAGGTCATCCGCACCGCGTGCGCCTCGGGCATTAGCTTTGTGTCTGTGTCCAGGTCGTGGTCGTACGCGCTGTTGTTGTCGAAGCCGCGCCGGTCTCGTGCGTCCGCCCCAGCCTCCGCATGCAGGACCACTACTGCAGTGCCCCCGGCTTCGTGGCCACGAGCCGCTGCTCCTAGGCTACTGTGGCCTACAGCGTCGCTGCCTCCCGCTCCCTCCTTTCTACCTCCACGAGCCGTGTCGCTCTCACATCCGCTTCCTTGGCTGTGCGAGCGTTCGCCTCCTGAGCTACGCGTGCGTATGCCTGTTGGTGACACCCAACAGAGATCGTGGACTCGACCAAAGAGTGGGAGGAGTGGGATTGGTTGCGGCTATGAAAGGTCCCTAGTTTGGTTTTGATAATTGAGTGATAACCTAGGTGGACTAATAAGTGTTTATGTGAGATACACAAGTAATTAGTCCACATGTACACTTGTGTGAGCAACACATGCCATATAGATGGAAATGGCTTGGATTTGTTGCAAGGCTCACACATGTGATGAATGAGCTCATTGCATATGAGACATGACATTGAGTCATATGACTAATGTGGAGAATATCAAGACAAGACTTGGCTTGATGGACCGGTTGCAAGCGTGAAGGACAAGTTGGAGGCTTTGAAGCGATGGACCACGTGGCGGTGAAGTTTGAGCAAGACTTGGCGCCGATGGACGAAGACAACGGTGAAAGGAAAGTGAGGTTAAATCGATGAACCAACAAGGTCACATGATGATATAAAGTAGATCATATCATTTGTGATATTATTGGTGCATGTGTTGCATCAGCATTAGAGAAGATGGAATGGAATGCGCAAGGCAAATGTATAACCTATAGGGTATTTCATTTCACCGGTCATAGGTGTGTAGAGAAGTTTATGACCGGGTTTAGGATAGATGATTGTACTATCAAGAGGGGCAAACTTGTTTACATATCGGTTATCTAGTGCCACTCGAGTGATCTAACTTTGCATCATTACTAGGATCCGAGTGGCGTGGTGAAAAGAGAGCTAATCCTTTGATAAAATATTTGTGAAAAGCTAACACACGAGCACAAGGTGGTGTATCATTTGGTGGTGTTGATACATTTGCAAAGTAGAAGAAGTTAGAAGCAAGGAGGAGGTCGCAGAGAGCATGGGTTGCTTTCTAGACAATGGCGGATTGTCTACCCTCTGGTGGCGGACTGTCCACGGTCCTCGGACGTTGTCGTTGGGAGCACATCGGATGCGACGCTCGCATTGGTCATGGGCTGACAGGTGAACGGTGAACTGTCCGTGCCTGGGCGATGGACTGTCCGCCGGCTAAAATCGGTGGCGAGCAGAGTTACTGGAAACTCTGTCCAGGCTGTTGAAAATGAATGGTGGACTGTCTGGCCCTATAAGGGTGGACTGTCCACCAACTAATTTTTAAGGAACAGAGGTTGCTGGATAGGTTCTGGACATGTTGTCGAAATTCAACGACGGACTGTCCGCTTATAATTCTCGGACTGTCCGCGGTAACCGTTTGATCTCCAACGACTAGTTTCAGGTGAATGGCGGACTGTCCGAGCCCTAAGGGGTGGACTGTACGGGGTGACCGTTGCTGCACCTAACGGCTAGTTCAGCATAAGAGCGGACTGTCCAGGCATATAAGGGCGTACTGTCCACAGTACACTTTTCAGCATGCGTCCAAACGGCTAGTTTGAGGCCTCCCTCTATAAATAGACGGGGTGGCTGACCATTTGAGATGCTTGGCACCTTTGGGACTTAGTTTCCTTGTGTGAGAGTATTTGGGATCCCTTTAACTCACTTGTGATTAGTGCTAATCATATCCGCTAAGTTAGCGAGAGATTCTAGTGCGGTGCATGAGAGATTGCAAGTGTTGGCACTAGGTGATCGAGTTGCAAGCCGATAATACTTGTTACTCTTAGAGGTTGCCATCTCCTAGACGGCTTGGTGGTGGTCTCCGTTGAAGCACGCAAAGAAGATTGTGCGGTGCTCTGGAGAAGGATTTGTGAGGGGCATTGTGCTCGTCCTGTGGGAGCCGCGAAGAGCAACTCTAGTAGAGCGAGACGCGAAGGGCAACAAGTGGTCTAGCCGGGTCAAGTGCTAGAGCTTGTGGCAAGCACTCCGCGTGGGAGAGTGTGACTTGCGGGTCACCACTAGCAAGAGGACCGACGGCAACCTTAGAGCTTGTCTCAATGGGGACTAGCTTGGTGGCAACCAAGTGAACCTCGGGATAAAAATCAACGTGTCAACCTTGTTCATCCCGTTGGTTTGCAATTCCCCAACACAAGCTTGTTTTACATTTCATTTATCGTGCTTGTGTAGTTGCTCTTGTAATTAGTTAGCTTGTGTAGCTTGCTAGTTACCCTCTTGCTTGTTTAGCATAGAAGTAGCTCTCTTTTGTAACTAGTTTACTTTTATAGTAAATTAGTTGCTTTATTTAGTTTGTGTAGCTAAGTAAAATGCGCTCTCTAATTCGGCTTGTGTAGCCTTGTTAGTGAGTATAGCTAGTGAGCTTAGGCTTTGTGCGCTTTGCATCACTAGATTGTGTAGGTACTCCCCGGTTTGCTCGAAGTACTAGTTGCATAGGTTTGTGTGCCTGGCAAGCTAGAATTGGTAAAATGCACTGTTTTCTACTGTAGCGGCTCATCAAAGGGCTCCTGGCTCCTGCTGAAATGCACTGCGAAGTGGAGGAAGCTGGAGGAGCTACGATTTGAAGGCTTCGACGGCTCCTCCACAGTGCAGCTATAGTAGACGGAGCCGGAGCCCCTCCGAACATGCTCTAACAACGAGAGCCGAAATTGCTCGACCAAGACATTCAACAAGAACAGCCAAACTATCCAGCAGAAACTCCGTGACCGGAAACGTGGCTGCGAGCCGCAATCGGTTCTTCGGTCTCTGCCGTCTGGCATCAGCCCATCAGCAATATGCAGATGTGCAGGCCGGGAGTAGGTAGACGAAACAACAAAATAGCATACTATTAATTTTATTGATTCGTTCTGTAAAAATTTTGAAGAGGAGTACATAGATCAAACCACACTGTGGACAAATTCCAAAAGACTAATAAGGGAAGATACAGGCTAAAATATCGCTTGAAAGATATGGTCGACAAGCTTGACAACTCATGTGACTTGGCTATCAATCAGATCACAAATATTCTGATGATCTGTGCTTTTGCTTCAGCTCGCATGGGATCCGGTAGGGGGAGAGAAAATGGGGCACGCAGCACGCTCTACCGTCGCAGGGTCTGCATAATGTACTGACCGTAAAGATCCCTGCACAAAACACCAAGATCATGTCAACACGAATCCGGAGTTCGATCCAAGCCGATATATGGTACATGTCTTTTTCATGTCATCCTCGAGATAAATGACCAATTGACCAGGACTTACATGGAGTACTGGATGGCTTCGCGGGCAGCTGCGGCGGGCAGGAAGTCGTTGACGGCCACCTCCTTGTTCTCGTTCTTCTTGTCTGGAAGAAACCACACGAATGAAGGGCGCGTCCAGCAAGGACCACGGAAATTTAGCGAGTACGGAGCAGTGAGACAGGAAAGCGTACAGTCTTCGAAGAAGCGGCGGATCTCCTGGAGGCGGTGAGGAGAAAGCTCGCTGATGTCGTTGTAGTGGCGGTACTCGGGATCGTCGGCGCAGACGGCGATGATCTTGTCGTCCTTCTCCCCCTGTTCCGAACATTTTGGTAAGGTTAGATAAGATCGGTGCGAATGGTTGCAACTCGGGATCGAATTGCAGGGAGATGGAACCATGCATGGAGATAATGCATCTATCATCTGCGTACCTGATCTATCATAGGCATGAGGCCGATGGCCCTGGCGCGGAGGAAGGCGCCGGGGAGGACTGGTTCCTGGATGCAATGCAAATGGCATGCGGATATATGTTCTTATTAGAAACAAAATAGGTGAATAATCAACCCGAGAGGCGAGAGGCGAGAGTAATTAATAAAGGTTGAGATGACGATTGACAGCGATCAGTCAGTCACCTGCATGAGGACGAGGACGTCCATGGGGTCGTTGTCCTCGCAGAGCGTCCGCGGGATGAAGCCGTAGTTGTGAGGGTACACGACGGACGAGTAGAGGACGCGGTCCACCTTGATGAGCCCCGTCTTCTTGTCCAGCTCGTACTTCACCTTGCTCCCCTTGGTGATCTCCACAACCTGCTCGACACACCGGATCAGACACGTTCACGCCCCAGATCGATTTGCAAGCTGCAACTTTGGTTGCTTGCTTGCTGGGGAATAATGGGATTCAGATACTTACGACGTTGAAGACGGCCGGAGCTTCAGGACCTGCAAATTGAAAGCACGCACGACCGGTCGTCGGTCGGTTAGCAAGCGCTATCCTCGAATTGAAGAAGAAGGCCTCTGATCGAGCCATGCATATCTGAGGAACGAACAAATGCGTGCGTTGGCGAGAGAGACGACGGCGGGCTCACGTACCGATCTCGAGGTCGTGCCAGGGGTGCGCGGCGACGGACCTCCGCGACAGCGACGAGAGGATCCGCTCGTTCAGCCGCGGCGCCCGGCGCTGCTTCGGCTCCACCTCCATCACGTCCTGATGCTCCTCGGCGGGGTGCCCGTTGCTGGCTCCTCCGTTCTCCTGGCTCATCTTCCGCTACCTCTGCTCTGTACCTGCCGGAAGACGAGTTCGGGTTGACCGATCGACGCTCGTCTCTCACGTCGCGCGCGCTCGGCGAGCTAGTAAATGTTTACCAAAATGTTGGAACAGGGGGATGGGAATGGGGACACGGCAAACATTGCAGCGGCCCGCGCGCATATATAGGGGAGGATGGGAGGGAGCGCCAGAGTCCGGAGCGGTGCGCGTGGGGGGCCACTGGTTGGTAGTGGGTCGACGCGGCAGCACGTGGGTCGCGGTGCCGCGCTGGCGAGTCGCGAGCTGTTTGCCAGCTTTAAGGAAAATGGATACTGGGCTTGCAATTTCAATAAGCATCTAGGCTTATAATTTCAATAAACATCTAGTTTGCTTTTATACCTAGATTTGTATTTGTACGTTTAATCTTTTATCCTACATACGCTAGGTATATCTTATGATAGGCTTGCTCGGTTTTATTCTTAACCCTTGGAACAAACCTACATGGTTTAAATTGTTTAAGAGCACGACACATAACTTGTTTTACAATTGTTCATTTAATATGTGCCAAAGTCTAAATTGTAGATAATTTCTCTCGAATATTACCTTCGAAAATGATTTTCACATTCATGTGATGTTATCTTTCAAGTGGTATTTTTTATTCTAAAATCAATATACATGTCTCCTACAAGTATTTCATACTTGTGTGCACAAATTTAGGGGAGGTTACTCTACAAGTTGGATGCTTTGAGACTAACATCTTTTCAAGTTTATCATGTGTGTAGTAGTCTTATTGCAAGGAAAATGAAGTCCCCGGAGTTAAGCATCATACTTCAAATATCCACCACCTATTATAAGTGGTACAAATCAAATTGGTTTGCATATTTGGTATTTCTAAACCGATATCATCATGTTGATTTCACTTTGGTAATGGTCCGAGAAAAAGATGATAGTGGATTATGGAGTTAGGGGGAGGCTTAAATCCATAATGTCACATGGGGATATTTGTAAGGGCAAGATAAGTTTCTAAAGATGTTTATATGTGGTATCTTTTAGCATCATATAACCTTGTCCTTTGCATTGCATCCTAGCAAGTAAATAGTTTTTAAATTCCATAATTTTTATTATTTGCTTGCTTTAGTCGTGTTGTCATCAATCACCAAAAATAAAAAGATTGTAAGGAAAATAAACCCTAGGTTCATTTACTTTGGATTTTGATGTTTGATGACCAACACAACCAAATTGAACTAATAAATTTATAAGTAATTATTTTGTAGTTCAATAGGGTGCAAGACATGACTTGGACGAAGACGACATGATGATCTGATGATCAACACCTTAAGCAAGACCCTAGAAGTACAAGAGAAGACCCAAGATATCAAGCATAGCCTAAGTACGAAGATGGAAACCAAACCGGACGCAAGATCGTGAAGAAATGAGCTCCATAGAGGTGACCGGACGTGGCCCTATGAGGACCGGACGTGTCTGATCAGTTGCTCGACAACAGCAGTGTCAGCAGCAGTGACCGAACGCTGAGCGAGGCAGTGACCGGACACATGGACTTCACTGTTCATCGTTACGGCAACAACTCAGTGAGGACCGGACACAGCAGCACTGGATGACCGGACGCACAAAGTGCAGCATCCGATCATGTCCAGAGAGGTTCCAGAGCGGCGCAAATACGACCGGGACGTGTCCGGTCGATGATGACCGGACTCGACAGTGCGTACGATCTCTACGCGCGCGCTCAACGGTTGAGACGACCGGATGCATCCGGTCAGGACGACAACAGCGTCCGATCAGTAGCAGAAAGTTAGGTTTCGTCCCCAACGGCTACTTTCTCCATGAAGCTTATAAATAGATCCCCCAACCGACCATTTGTGATGTGGAGAGCTGAGAAAACATACCAAGGGTGTTGATACACCATTTTAGTGATCACCACTTGCATAGTGCTTAGTAATTCATTAGGTAATTAACGTAGGTGCTTTGCGAAGTGCTTAGGTTGATTAGACCACTGCTTATGCGCTTGCTATAGGTTTAGGTCTAGTGTTTAGTGAGGTTTGCACACATCTTATTACTCGGTGCTTGCGCGCACTATTGTTGTACATCGGAAGAGTTTGTAGTGTTGCGAGATCACACCAACCGCGTTTGTGGTGTGGCCGCCACCGTATACCGAAGGGAACAAGGCCCACAGCAGTTCGGCCGGAAGCTTGATAGTAAAGACGGTGGGAAGCATTCGGGAGAGGCTTGCCGGAAGACACGTCAGAGACCCACTTGCGCGTGGGGAAGGCCCGAGGCTATCCACGGAGTTACCTGACCGGGAGCTTGGCCCTTGCGATGGGGCACCAACGAGGACTAGGGAAAAACTTGCGCGCTTCTCGATACCTCGGTAAAAATATCGGAGTCGTCGTCGGGAGTTTGCATCTTTACCTCATCTTTACCTTCCGCATTCACATTGCTACCTTGGTTGATTGCTTTACTTTCCTAGCTTAGTTGATAGGCTAGTTGATAGGATTGGAACCTAGGGTGCATAACTCTTTTGTGGTAGAGATAGCAACGCACCTAGTAAAATCGTAGTTGCACATCTAGATAGATGACCGTCTTGCATAGGTTTTGACAAGGTGAAACTAGAGACTATAATTCAGAGTTAGAGTTTTAAATTGCCTAATTCACTCCCCCTTCTTAGACATCACGGTCCCTTACACCAGCTATCCATCGGGTCACCCCAAAAGGTGGCGCATCCGAACCGACAAGGCTCTCGCCTCTCAAACCCACGGGGTGACTGGGACCACGGGTAAGGCCCTCCGACGTCGCCGGATTAACCCCGATCCACATGTTTTGTGACGGATTAAGGTGAAATTTTGTTCAAATTCTACTCAAATCTATCCCAACACATATAAATTGATATAAATCCAACTACATACGAACAAGGCCTAACAGGGGCCAGACGTTCAATCAAAGCGGAATGCTGATGTGAACGAGCAGCATGTGCTCCAATCCAATCCAGATGCTCTCAAATATCAGCAGTATGATTTAAGATCGGTCCTTCGAAAACAAACTAAAGACTAGTTTTTTTTTTTGAATTATACATTACAACACAGCCACTCACAATGCACGCACACTGGACCGGCAAATTATCAAGATTGACAAAGTCGCCATAGATGTCTTGCTATCAACAAAAACGTCGTCTACCACTGAAAGCACAACGTCGTTAAAACTTGCTCCCACCGGAGTCGAACCCAGTACTACTGAGGCTCTTATGAATTATAATCGCTGGGCTCCAAGTCCTTTCACACCTAAAGACTGGTATCTACTACGCTGTTGGAAGCCTTTTGATATTCGTGATGCTCGTTTTTTCAAGAGATATACAGAGATCGTGATGCACATGAGCATGTCATGATTCGCACATATTTGTTAATAATAATAAGCATAATAAAGAAAGGAAAAGATGGTGGAACGAAGTCCTGGTGCACATGATCGTCAGTACCGGTTTCGGTGCCACTGCCTGTCGTCCGGTCCACCAACTTCAACTTTGGAACTGGTTGTCCAGTACTGTACAGGGTGACAATGGCACGGACCGTAATACGCACGCGAATCCGTGTCAACTCCGCTGCTTTGTGCCAGTGGAGTTGTACAGGCCGGAGGCAATTCCCACAAGTCTGGCTAGCCTGACTCATTTTCACTCTAACAACATTATCAGAACAATTGGCAGAATCACAGAATTCTCCTTGTGAAGAGCCTCACCACCCATAAGTCAATAACTCGATACCACAACTTACAGGAACGATTGATCAATAACTCGATATCATTAGCATTACTTTACTCAGGTTTCGCAATGGAGGCGGCGCGGGCTCTTAACTCGCCCCGCAAAGTTTCCCTTCGTGGCTGTAGTGGCCCAGCTGCAAAATTTTTTGGCCCAACGTCTTTGAACCCGCCAAACCCGTTGGGCAAGAGACAAAGCTCGCAAGAACCCGCGAGACCCGCAACAACTGCATCTCCTGAACCCTACCGCTATCGCGCCGTCACGGTACGGTGGCGTCAGGCGTCGCCCTCCTCTGCTCGCCCTTCCGGCTTGTCCTGGCCCTTGGTGTAGATGGGAACGCCGATTCCGGCCGTGGCAGGCGGCGAAACCTGGCCCTCGACTCGCGCTCCTCCGTGGTGGAGCAAGAGGAGGCAGGAGAGGATAGGGGCCATGAAGCCTCCAAGATCCTAGCGTCGGCTTCTGCGGGATTGGGGCGCCAGATCTCGGGTGTGGCTTCGTCGTCCTGCAATTTCTTACAGACAGATAAATATGGGTAAGGATTTTGCTCGGTTCCCTTTGGTTTTGGTTGTTTACCTCTACTGTTCTCTCTTGAACTAATATACGGAGTGGAGCAGATTGTACAGTTGACACTCATAGTGCAAAGGATGCTTTCAGCAGAGTGTTTTTAGTTGCATTTATGTGTTAGGACCCTGAAGGAATTATACAGACTCCACAGTCCTATGTCGAGTTCATATTAATCACCAGAACATAGTGTTCATATAAAAATTGGACCGAATCAATTTTGAGCATCAACACAAACTAAAAACAGGATTAATTATTGTCTAGAAATCTTTAAATATGATCTTTTAAATCGTCTACTACAAATATCTAGTTTTACTGTAGTCCACATTTTGTTGCCACCATTTGGTTGTCCTGTAGCTTATCATGTTATTGTATTCTATCTAGATGTGCTGGTGTGGACATGACAACCCTGCCATCTGAGCTTGCGCCAGAAGAATTGAGTGGTCAAGAAGCAGATCAATAAAGGAGTAAGCATACAACTTCAAGGAGTGTGAACTTGAAGAAGTCATTGCTAGTGAAACGGAAGTCATCTACTGTTAATGCTCCAAAGCCTCCAACAAAGAAGCGGAGGAAGACATCTGCTTCGAACGTGCAATTTGTGAGGTCCCCGCTATTGAATAGGATCCTAGCATCGCCAAGGATGCGCCACTCCAGAGCCAAACACCAGAGGTCACCATATGCAGGATTGTCATCT